CTTCAATCTCCAGCATCTCTAGAGTCTAAATTTGGGGTGTGGTTACTGCCCATTTGGCATACAACAGCTTCAGTTGAACATTTCCTTCGGTTTTGATAAACTAGGAAACTTGAGGCATCTTAATCTTTCCAATGTTGGTTCAAAGGGCAAATTCCACTTCAGATTTCAAGAATGACAAGCTTGATTACTCTTAATTTATCTGTGAATTTCTTTCTTGTTGGAAATGCATTTGCCTGGTTTGGAATCTCGAGGAGGGGTAAGTGGAGCCGGGCATTGTCAAATTCTCTGTCTAACTTGCAAGTATTGAGCATGCCAAACTGTTTTCTTTCAGCCCCCATGGATGCTTCCTTTTCCAAGCTGATTCGTTTGGATGGAAACAAGCTGTCTGCACCATTTCCAGAATTCACTTGGCTTCTCCACAACTTGTTGTCACTAATTTGCAAGAATAAACAAAAACTAACATCGAATTGAAAGAAACCTAGATCCTACAATGCCGCAAAAGGGCCATTGCAAGACCTCATAGAACACCATCCCCAATCCTACTTAGACCTCTGTCTCATCTTTCGACGCTTTCTCTTCAATCTTCTTATACGCTTCTTCTTCCACTGTAAAAATCACCCAAGATCGAAACGAGGATACCAATGAGTTGACTCGACAATGAAAGAAACCCAATCAGATTAATATAGGGGGACAAAGGAAACAGTAAAGATAAAACAGATAGAAATTTCTAAAGCATCGTGCTTGGGTAAACGGTTTTACAGGTTACCTTGGCTCTCATGGTTGAACGATGAGGGCTGCTGCTCTTTGTTTCTCAAGTAGCTCTTGAAACCCTAATTCGACACACAGACGCGAACCAAGTAAGACAGGAGGGGCTTGCAGGTCCGCTTTATATACATTGAAAAACCCTAACCGGTCCGATTTACTTCAATTTTTCTTGGGCTAAGTAACGTTAGTGGATAACTGGATCTTTGATTCTTTTGATGGATCAAATTATTGTGGACTTGTGGCCCAAAAAAATTGTTTTGGGCTTGGGTTCGCTCTCATGGTTGGCGGCTTGGTGTCACACTGATTTTAAACTAAACTAGTTCCCTTGATTATTTTTATTTTTACAAACTAGACTGTTCTTAGGCCTGTGTAACTGGAGTCTTGGGGGCCCATATTATTGGAAATTGAGAACTCAAGCAACTTCTTCGATTTTTCATCTACAAATCTCAATCTAACGGATGTAGCCGGCTAGTCTCTAGGGCTTTCAAAAAAAAGTAGAAAAGAGAACCCAAGTTCAATAATTTCGAAAGACCAAACTGTTTAATAGTCAAAAGCTAAAAAGCTAAAAAGCTAAAAAGCCGAAAAGCAAAAAAGTGGTTAAACAGAGTAAAGTAGACGCGTAAATTAGGTAAAAAGTTACATCAACATTTCCACATTCAACAAAGTGGCTCCTTTATACGTTAGCTTTTCGAATTTGTTTTTGGTTAAATCTCTATTTTGGTTCTTAAATTATTATATGAACTTTCGATTTGTTTTTGAACTAAAAATTTTTTTGATTTGGTCCATAAACTATTGTATAGATCTTAATTTGGTCCCTATTATTTATAATTTGACTTAAATTAATCCTTAAACTATTGTACGTATCCCTAATTTGGTTCTTACTGCTTACAATTTCGCCCTGATTTGGTCCTTAAGCTATTATTTAATAGAAGAACCAAGTTGGGACTAAATTGGTAAACAGTAAGGAACAAATTGAGGATTCGTATAATAGTTTAGGGACTAACTCAAGGTTTATACAATAGTTTAGGGACCAACTCAAAGTCTGTACAATAGTTTAAAGACCAATTCAAGGTCTGTACAATAATTTAAGGATCAAATTAAGAATTTTTTTAATTTAAAGATCAAATCAAAGGTGTGTACAATATTTCAAAAACTAAAATAGAGGTTTAACCTTTGTTTTTTCTTGGTACAATGCAATAAAGCTTTGTGAATGGAACGGTCTTTCCAATGCAGAAATTTGATGGAAATGGAACCACTCAATTGATACATTTGAAATTTCCTCCTTCAGTCTCCTTCGGTCTTTATCAATTCGTGCTGTATCCAATGGTGCATTGACTCCGGGTCCCTTGGTCTCATATACTTTGGTAGGTAGAACAGTAGACTTCACGTAACATCAGCTTTTTTTTCTTTTTTTCTTTTTTTTTTTGTAGACTGCTGTTTTATTTCAGCATAGCTATAGAAATGTAATTGACTTGACTTGAATAGATACTTAGGTGACCATCATTATAAATAACTAGACAAAGAGGCCCATGTTCAAGACTTAAGAAGTTGCTATTATTTGTCAATCTATCATTTTCGTCAATCTCTGAAACTCGTTGTTGCAACCAATGATACTTTCACTCTTTTCTTGGTTTTTCATGTTACTTCTTGCAATAATTTTCTTTCAGATTAATGTGGTTTTGGCTTCTGGTCAC